ATCTGGACATTAAAGATTTTGTATGTGAAATTTCAAAATTTTCTGATGTATAAAAGTATTTTTAATCATAAAATGAATATTACTTTGCATGTTAGATATGCAACATGCAAAAAGAAAAAAAAAGACAAGAGAAAAACATTGCTTTAAAAACCTTAAGACTTAATAAAAAAAAAAATTGATATTTTGCATATAAAAAGCATTATAATGTTTACTGATAAGCTGCCAAATTTCGTTAACATTCATTTACTAATTTAAAAGTTATAGCATGAAAACTATAACAAGCACAAATTGGTTACGAGGTCAGTTCCAGGGACCGAGCCCGGGTTGTAAAAGTTAAAACCAATAGAGAAACAAAGTTTTAATTTACCAAATAACATATTAATACCATGCTCACAGTAGAGATTATTGGTTATTTTGATTACAGAGTGAAAGTTACTATTGCCAAGTTCAGATCAAGTAGCTAAAGGAGTTATTTTAAAGTACTTATGCTTTAGTTAGAAAGCCAGTTAAAGTACAATAGTTATATGACATAATATGCTTTGTGCATGTTATTAAAATTATTTAATGTAATAGTATCTTCATTACACAAAAGTAGGCTGAAGTTTCATCAGTAGGCTGACAGCAAAAAACAAGAGGTCAAATGCAAATACTAAATTTCTTGTTTTTTATGCTTATTTTTTAATTTATTGTTATAAAAGTAACTAAAAAGTAAAACTTAGCTTATATAAGGTAAGATAATTATATAATGTAAATTTAGCTATGCATTTGCTGAGTGTTTTAAAGCTTGTATTGCAAAACTATTAGTTACACATGATTGAAAAGGTAATAAACAATAAACTTAAGTAGAAACAGATATATACTTACAAGCCTTAAGCTATTTAGGACTATTGTAGTTTTATATTACAACGTGTAGTCATTTTGGAAATTAAAAAGTGGTAATTTATATTTAGTTTGTATTTTTTTGTAATGGTTACAAGGTTGGTCAATTAACCATGTCCATATATAATTGAGATAGAGAAAATAACCAAAATATAAAGTGTTACTGAAATAAAATGTTTGATACTTGTTCAGGAGGTTTTAGATGTTCTTGCAACTGAAATATGTAAGCTTTTAAAATGAATTAAGTATTTTTAATCGTAGCATTTTAACCATGCACCAGTAGTAGCCAATACTCCACATGTTTGCACGCAAGTCTTTAGTAAAAAACACTCAAAAAAATTTTATCTTTTGTTTACAAAAAATTTGTAACTCTTACAAAAAGTTTGCCAAATTTCATGAAGATACATGTGCCACATTAAAAGTTAGTGGGGATACTTACATGGCTATCTGGTGGTTACAAGGTTGGTCAAAATGACCGAACCTATAAGGACAGAGTTAGTAGGCTATTAAAAAAATTCTTACCAGTAATAGAAACTTAGTTTAATAGTTAAACAATACTATATTTCAGGAATAGTGATTATTTATAACTATGCCTGCTAAAAACATAAGTCTTATCTTCCTTAATCTATTAAAGTTGCATTACTTTAAATGTTTACAAATAGTAACTACAATAATGAACTGGAGCATGCTATTACCATTGTTAGAAAATAAAGACAGCAAAGTGACATAAATAGCAACCATAATACATCTGCTACTAGTAGTAACGAAAATATCCCATTCTTATACCAGTGAATTTAGATGCTGGATGATAAAATCTACAAAAGTAAAACACTTGAGCAATAGCCATACATATTATATCAATCAGCACATGCAATAGCCTATTCCATACCTATTATATCAACCTTATTTGATAAATCTATCACCTGAATAACTAACCATTATATAATTTTTATGTTTAACCATAGTGATAAAGATGTTCCCATAATAGATGAATAAATAACATAACACAATTATTCAATAGAATACCTTGATCCCCCCATAATCTTCTCTGATACTGACAACATCTTTGTCTCTTGTCTTGGAAAACAGGTCATATATTTCTTCCTTGTGTATCTATGCTCAAAAGTAAAAATGTGTTGTTAGTAACAACTGTATGAAGTAAGTTGTGAACTGATCAGAAACTTAGCTGAGAAAGAAAAACATGGTGACCACATTGTTTACAGTTTTTTTTTTTACTCTGACTTTTAAATCACAGGTAGAATTCCAGATTTTATAAAAGTGGTGCACACATACACAAATAACACACAAAAAATTTAAACTTTTTATTATAATTCTGAATAACTAACACCACTTTACTCTAGTTATACAGTGTAGTAAAACCTTCAGACTGTTGTGCTATAGAAAAAAATTTTGAATATAGATATTGAAACTTGAAAGAACGAAATAAAATGTTGCATTTCCATTTACAAAAAAGAGCATTTGTTCTAACTTACCATAAAATATAATGATCAAATTATATAGTTAAGCAACGTGGTTTGTTTGTTTGTGTGTGTGCTTGCAAGTTTTGTGATAAAGGATGTATCACAATTTTCCCATGTTTGTGGCCGTTTTAAGAAAGTGGTTTTCAAATTTGAGCAATTGTCTGAAAAATCTCTGTTTATGTTGGTTGGTTATTCATTGTTCTTGTTAATAATACTTGAAAGCACTTTTGTAACTAAATCAGCTGAGGATGATAAAGTAAGTTTAGTTCAATGGCAAATTTTTTTGAACTATGTATTTCAACTTGAATAAAGAAAGGGTGAAAATAAATTGAAGAACATACTAAGACAGAAATCATGCACTTTGTGTATAACAACTGGGAAAAATATAACACTTCTGTTAAAGTAATAATGGGAACAAAAAAATGGTAAATGATACAGTCAAAAGCTTGAAGCATTCACTTAAGTACATGTGAAGTAGATAAATGCTTGACATTAAAACCCAATTTAGGTCAAATTTTACAATCATATGCTATATTACATATCTAAACATTTACTTGTACATATTGTTAATTTGAAATTACATACTAGACTAATTAAAAAGTCAGGAGCTACATTTGCAGTCTAATATGTTTTATAACAAATTGTTGGTTCTGTTGCTTTGTCGACTTTTTGCATTTAACACTGCAACAGTTATATTTCATTTTCACTACATATAAACATTTCATATAGAATTTTGACTGTCATCATGTACCGATGTAGACGAATTCTGGTATTAAATGGAAGGCTTCGTGAGCAGTAACTTTTCACAGATAAAACATCTTCAATGCAAGATTAAGTCAATGGACCGTTTAAGAGATGTTAAAAAAAAGAGAGAACAAGCATGATTTTTAAACACAAGTTATAACTTCACAAGTTTTCTCTGTATGTTATGTCACTAGAATGGTTTTTTGTATACATTACAATAAAACCAATTGTAAAAAACAAAACATATACAAGTTTATTATATATTTTCAAATGTACAACTCATAATACGTTTTTATGTATGCATCCACGGTATTCAGTTCCACTTACCATGCACTTCTACATAAACATTTAGAAATCAACTGATATATATATATATATATACTCTTTTATAATTACATTTTTATAGGAATATTGTCAGCTATAACTCACTTCAAGAAAACAAACTTTTATCAAAAATTCACTCTCTGTCCTTTTGTAGATTCCTTCAAAGATGTCACAAATTGCTCGGGGAATTATTCCCTTCTTGGATTCATCATCTTCAGCAGAAATGCTATAGGCTGTTCCCATTGAGTAAGTTTTCCCAGAACCAGTTTGACCATATGCTAACACTGTAACATTATATCCTATAAGAGTAGAAATAAAACACTATAATTGATCTGAGTGAGTACTACCTAGACAATCAAACCAGAACAACTTTTGAGTACATGCAAGATCTGAGTGAGTACTACCTAGCCAATCAAACCAGAACAACTTTTGAGTACATGCAAGTGGGAAGTAGAAACTGACCCCAGGCTCAGATAAACACAACAAATAAATTTACTAAATTTTTCTCAATGTTATACATATAAGAAATAAAATGTAAAAACAATGATATAAACAAGTCTGTCATAAGTCTAGTAGTATAACATCTTTCTTATCTAAACGTTTCTCATTTAACTTTAACAAACTAGATTAAACAAAATCCAAATAATCTTTCACTGGATGCAACTCAGAAATCAAAAGATGTATGGAAGAAAAGTTTCAGATATTTGTGCAAACTTACACTAGAGCTATCAGCACACGGCTCTCTTTAATTTTGAACTGACAGACTAGAGATAGAGCAGCTAGTCAATAGCACCCACTCTTATGTAATCTAATAGTGGGATTTGACTAGGTTTATATAGCACATCCAGAATAATGAAGTTCTGCATAACATTACTTTCATATTTAAGTTAAAAACACTCTTATTTGAAAGGAAAGATATTTCTCGAAAACAAAAATTTATGAATAATTTCAGCAGACCTTGCACTGACAGCTAGAACTCAGGCACACGACAGAAAATACTCATTACCAATAATTGTTAGCAGGCTGCCGTGTTAATTACTAAATTGTGCTTTCCCTGGATTTAAGTATGAATAGTAATCCCTTCCTTTATCCTACGACAATTATATACAATTCTTAAAAAACCTCAATAAGCTGAATAAAGAAGGTAATGTTAAAATAGACTAAAAAGCATACGAGAAAAACTCACCTATAAATAGGTTGTCTATCAATTTCTTGACCACCTTTGTGTAAACTTCCTCCTGAGTGTTTTCTGGAGAAAAAACATGGTCAAATGTGAAGGCCTTATCTTTTCCAACAACAAGTTGTGGCTCTCCAGGAACAAAATAAAGGCAGGACTGACATCCTTCAACTATTTCCTTACTCACTAGTGGACGACTTCTTAATGCTACCCTAACAGGAATGATTTTCTCCTCCGACATATTCCTCTTTCCTGTGCTCAACTGAAAAAAGGAATTTCAGTTGTTCAATGTGTATAACAAGCAATAGAATAAATACATAAAATTAAAAAAATTTAACAACTTTTTCTTTATATTGTACATGCTATCACAAGAGAGGCCAAAAGTTTAATTACTGCTTAAAAAACTCTCAATGCCTCGGTATATCATTTCTACTGCCATTTCAAATAACTACTGAATGAAACTGCTTGAAACTTGAGAAAAACTTTCTACAATATCTTATTTTTATATGTGTTGTTTGTAAAAAGTCACAGTTTTCAAAAGTAGAAAAGGTTTCACTGTAGTATATTTTTTAAGAAACAGAAATGTTAACTTTTATAACAGATTTTTATGGTTTCCATAGTTCTTGTCAAGCTATCCATTAAAGTTTTTACTATACAAAACTGTAAATTTTATTTTATTCAAAGAACACTACACACTATTTCACTGTGTTTATGATCATTGGCATATAATAAAAATAACTTTTTTTTTTACCACACTGTTCCAGGCAGAAAATTGTGAGGAGCACAACCCAATGGGAGAGAAAATGGTTGAACAGTGATCCAAACCACAACATGTGGGGATAAGATAAGGGATTCCAATCATATCTACACCAGCAGAACACTGCCTTACTCCACGGTCCACTACCTCAGCAGCTTGGAACTGGAAAGTGGTAAGGCCTCTCTTACTCTACTGGAAGAAAGAGGGGAAAAACTGTAGGAGAGTCCAGAGGAAAGTTCATGCCAGAGACAGTGCAATGGGTGACCACGAAACCCTGTTTTGAAAACCAGATCAAACCTGATTTATTCAATCTAAGGAATGGCAGAGATGGACAGCAATCCCCTTCTGCTTTACCCATGAAGTCCATGGGTGAGTTTGGTCCAGAACAACCATACTTAAGAATCAATATATCACAAGGAATAACCCACAAACGATCTTGTGGAACACCACATTTCTAGCATATTACAGAACAGTGTGTGTTTAATGGCCATGGAAGAAAAGAAATGAAATAAAATCAACATGGCCTTTCAGTGCAGATTTGAGTACCAAACTAAGTGAAGTATACCTAGCCAGGCACCACTTGCCACAGAGCAGGATCCAAATTAAAACATGGGATAGGCCCCTGCAAAAGATAAATAATGAAAAATAAAGAAAACTTACACAGTTATAGTCTCACTGAGATCTGAAGAATGGCAACAGGTGGAAGAGGATAACAAGATGAGGAGAAAACAGCAACACGATGCAGATAGTATGACATGAAAATATGCAGAGTGGTCCACATACCCACTTGAAGAATTTCCTCCAATGGATGACACGGATGAGGTGCCAGGAAGTGAACACCCAAAATAATTGATGGGAAGGAGATAAGGAAGAATAAGTCATTCGAATTAAAAGCTGAACACAAATGGTAAAGGTGGAAGGAGAATTGCCAAGGGATGCATAGACAAACAGTTATAACAGAAGGAACCATGCAAGCGATATAACAACAAAGAGCACGATTGGGACATAGAAATCTATCCAGATCTGACCAGGAATAGAGGTGGGAAATGGAAAGAAGGGTAATTGGTGAGAAGGAGGAATTACTCCCCCTGTAGCTGCCAAAGTCTTGGAAGGGAAGGATCAATCCAGATAAAGGAAGAGATAGGAGGAATGATACAGAGTACAAGAAACGTCGATGACAAAGAAATCTGACCAATAACATCCACAGACCAAAAGGAGGAGGGAATATGCTTTATGTGATAACTGAAATATGGAACAAGAAGACAAAGGCTCAAAAGGAGGTAAAATATGGCAGTGAAGCACTACCTTTACATCCAAATCTGGAAGAGCTGCACACCGCAGAGGGCAATTAGTCCAGAAGGAACATAACAGGAGGGAGAAGGTGTGGGAATAAAAATTTTACAGTTATGGGGAAGACAAAAGGTGTGGGAGAAGGCTGCCAAATAACCCGCAGTTGTGGAGACCAAAGACCCCTGATCAAATAACCAAGTCCCTTGTTGATGATCTGCATTGGTGGTTGGACAAGGCTCACACTTCAGTAGGGGTTCCGCTTCTTCTCCCTTGTCTGGATTTATATCTTGTCACATACACACTTCATGACTGGGGGCCATGGGTCGAGCACCAAGTTGCTTGTGGTCTATGTCAATATCCAGGATCTACTTGCTGTCCAGTGGGCTTTGGATCATTTTCTTCCCCTTGCCCACAAAAGTCTGGGTATGATCCAGACAATTCTACTGTTATGGCATATGTCAAACACCAGGGAGGCATCTGTTCTTATTCCCTTTGTTCTCGGATGTTGGATATCCTGTTTTGGGCCAGAATGCAAGGTATTCCTCTCCTTGTGTATCTTGTTCTGGGTGCTTTCAATCTTGTTACAGATTGGTATTCCTGCCCAGACAAAATTTATCCTACAGAGTGGTCTTTAGATCTTCAGGTTTTCCTGTGGTTGTGCACTCAGGTAGTTTATCCTACCATACCTAATTTTGATCTGGTCCTTGGTGAGGAAATCCGGTTTATCACAGCGAGTAGCTTCATTGTTGGCACTTTCTGTTTGACATTCTTCCATGGAGGTTTATCAACATAAGTGGAACGTCTTCCGTCATTGGTCTTTGGGCTGGGGGGTTCTCCCCTGCTCGTCATACTGTTCCTGTTATTATGGATATCCTCAAGGGTAATATGAACATCCAAAGGATACCACGCAAGGTGCCATTGACCACAAAGAGTCCACTGAAAGTATCTCATATGAGCATGGCTTATGGGGATAAGTGCCACCACAGAGGACCACACCCCCAAAAGAGACAGAACATCTTGACCAATAAAGGCATTGATGACTGCCAGCTCCATCAAATGGAATTGAAGAGGAGAAGGTTGGGTCCGAGAGAGATGAGTGTTGAACAAAACACCCAAAAGGATAAGATATTAGGTAGGAACAAGGTAGGATTTCTCCGGCTTGATCAACCGACCGACCCGAACAGCTTCAGAAAGAAGCAGATGAGTGTGTTGGGCAGACTCCAGTTGGAATGAGCCAAAAGAAGTCAGTCATCCATGTAATGGTGGAAGCTCAACCCGTGAGTGTGCATAAGACCCGCAAAAGCCTGGACCAACCAAAAAAAGACATACTGGGCTGTAGCAAGCTCGAAAGGATGAGCAAAAAATTGATAAACTACCTCATAATGAACAAACTGAGTAAGAGAGTTCAGTGAAGAAAATGTATGCTTCTGATGAAGACATAAAACAAAAAAACAGCTTTACAGATAGTCTGGAGTTCAGGATTGTTTTATCCTTTTGTAACTATGTGTACTATACACCAACCATCATTATGTAAATTAAAAAATGTAATAAGTTTATTAATATAAAATTATGAATAAATGATTTTTTGTTAGTAAATATTTCAAATATATCAAACTTACTATTCAGTTAGTACAATGCTCCCCAAACAAAGATATGTACAAGATAAAAAAAAAAAACAAGTTGATGGCAGGTGCTGCTGGATATTTGCCTTCCCTTTAGTATTTTATATATATATATAAAAAGGATTGAAGATAGGTGCTGCCAGCAAAGTTTCTTTCCATTAGTCAACAGTACAAAATTAATGACAGTGACTGAAAGTCTTAGCATATTTTCCATAACAGACAGGGTAAAGAAGTTTGGTGGCAATATCTCTTGGATAGTTGGAATAATCAAATATGGTAACAATTATAAACTCCAATTCTGGTTATTTTGTGATAATCAATTTAATGGACTGTTCGAATAATAAAAAACAGTAATAATTGGAAACACTAATTTTGATTAATTGATTTAATCATAATTTAAATTAATCAATTTGTTTACACAACATAAATCAAAGCAATCTTTTCTCTTAGGTAATTGATTAAATGTCTAACTCTAGTACACAGGACTACACTGTTAAAATATTCAGTTCTCAAATGTTAAACTTAACAAAGTTGTCAATAGGCTACTTGTACTTAGTGTTCAGTATTTATTTCCAGGCTACAAATACAATGGTTAAGACAAGTATAGGAGCTAAGTGCTCAAAGTTTATTAGGTGTTATGGGTGCAATGAATTGGTTTTATTTGGGAACTCAGGACTAGTATAGATAGTTTTCCTATGATGTAACACTATTACCCACAATGCCACTGTCCATCAACTTGTATGACAACCTTTTTCAGTGGTGTCAGTCAAATATGCAAAGAAAGTAAGCAAAATATTTTACTGAATTGTACCCTGTGGTAACAGTGAATACTTGTGTTATGTTGGGTTGTACAAATTGTGATACTGGAGATGTCAAATGATGATTTTATAATATTCCAAAGAATATTAAACATCAAGGAGTAAAGTTGTACACAGAAAAGAGGGCATTATGGCTTATGAGGATAAATTGTGAAGGATTTAACAAGCAACTGTCACAACAAAATGTGTTCAGACCATTTTATTAGCATACTGTTACATTTTATTTTCACTTTATGATTTGTACATTTTTCAATAAATGTGCATGCATTTATGTGTGTTGGGGTTTGAAATACAAAAATGCATACTCACTGATTAAAAACCTTGTTTTGAGTAACTCAGATTTTAAAATATACATTTGTATTACAATATGTATTTAGTTTTTATTTGAAGAAAATAATGATTTAAAATCAACAGGTTTTATTCAGAAAATCATTTATATATATATATAAATAAAACAATGGTGGCCTCCGTATATATATAAACACGATATTAAACCAACATACACTCAGCAGATTTCTGAAGATAAAGATGTTAAGAAAGATCATATTAATTGAATCTTTTAAATTTATATATATAATACCCTTTTGTATTATGGTATTGTATGCATATATATTCTTATATAATATGTTTGTTTATGTCTTCATAAATTCTTGTACATATTTGCAGCAATTAAAGCACATTTGTATGTCACATGTCAATACCTATCCAGACTTGGACCAGTGACAGCTAAAGAAGATGCGTCAAAATCTGCTGTCAAATGCTATGAATGAGCTCA